TAGAGTTGTTAACCATTACCAGGTGAAGCAGACCATAGGATGGTCTAGTATTTTACATTCATAAACCTAAGCCCTAATTAACATGTCTAGAAAATGTCAAATTGTGCATCATACATTTACTGTTTGCCATGTCCAGTTAAGTACCCTTGATGAGCTCTAGATTATGGTAACAGAGGGGTCATTAACTCTAATTCCACTCATTTGATCATGCCACAGAGCCTCTGATGCTTGAGGTCAGATTCTTATGTACATTTGATTCTCGCATCCATGTGTGCATCTTGCATTTTACAGGCAATGGATAAAAGTTTTAAAAACATAAACATACCCACATACCTACATAAACATACCCATTAATAAACATACCCATTAGGTTGAAAATGTTAAGTTGTAATCTGCTGATTCCCTGAATAACTGCGAAATAAGTAGAGTGAAAACTATGCAATATGTGGTTTCCCTGTCTATTCAAAGTGCATGGCGGAGGTTGCGGACAGCCCTGAAATAACTGAATTCAACTGTGGTTGCTGTCTGACAGTGCCATATTGGAGGAGGGAGCTGCCATTTCCTCTACCATATGGTATTGCCTTGCACACACCCTGTCAGCACTAGGAAATGTACAGTAATAGTGATTTCCCCTCCAGACATGTTTTATTATTTATAGAATAAGATGCTGTACAGTTGGATGGCTTTACTACAGTATGCTCTTGGTAATTCACCAGTCTTAACTCAGTTTTGATTTGTAATTGTTTTTGTAAAATGATACACAACAGACTGCCTAAGTGCTGACAACAGCACGCACAACACACATATTGCAAGAACTGTGGAATGGTAATGATTGTTGCTTTTTTGGAGTTTTTGCTGCAGTTTCCGGCAGGGATGGCTTGGACAGTCGGAGTTCAAATTTGAATTATTGCAGCAGAGGACCATGGTGATTGAGCGTGGCAATAAGAATGACTCCTGCAAGCTGATCAGGTGTAATCAGAAATTGATAAGGTTTCCATCATTTTTTCCAACTTTAGCTTAAGAACCAATTAAAATTCAAGGCACTTTTGATGCTCTCATCCATCTTAAAGTAAAACCAAAAATGTTGTGTCTTTGCAGTATGAGCTAAAAACCTGCGTTGTTCCAGTATCCGTTGCCATATCAACCACTTTTATTTTTATTTTTTTTGTTGCTAATTGTAATAATTGTAGTAAGGTCAAACATTAAAGTCATACTGCTTAAGAACTTTCATGCTGCTGTACTCATTCTGATGCATCTATTTTTCAGGCTTGCAATTATGCAATAGATCAAGTGAATGAGCTGAACAGGAAGTATTGTGTTTTTCTAAATGTTCTTTAATCTGTTTTTATGTTTAAATTCAATTTTCTTCCCTTAAAATTATAGTTATTTGTGGACTTCTTATGTATTTAATAAAATTTAAGCTAATAAACTTGAAACACTAAAGTGAAGAATATTAGCTTTAAAATTTATCAAATAAGGTACTTGTTTTCTAGACAGTTACAGTATATGGTATTTACTGCACATGTAATGTACACCATGACAAACTGTGTACTGCATTTCATACTTATTTGTATACTTTTCTTGGAGATCTTTACCAACATCATTTAATAGCTTCAGTATATTATTGAGCCAGCGGTTACTTTATATCACCTAACTCGCAACTGGAATCTCACTAAACCTAAGAAGGTGTGAACCTGGATGGGAGACCTTCTGGGAAAGCTAAGGTTGCTGCTGTAAGAGGTGTTAGTTGAGGCAGTCACCCTGCTGTCTGTGTGGGTCCTAATGCGCCAGTATAGTTACAGGAACATTATGTTGTAAGAAGGCTGACTCTCTATAGTCAATAAAAATCCCAGGGTGTTTATTCAAAAGAGTAGGGGTGTTACCCCAGCGTCCTGGCCAAATTTCCCATTGGCCTTTACCAGTCATGGCCTCATAATGATCCTCATCTATGAATTGGCTTTATCACTCTGTTCTTCTCCTCATTGATAGTGTTGGCACTGGTGATAATAGCTTACTGATAATGATGTGGTGAGCATACTGGCGCACTATGGCTGCTGTCACGTCATCCAGGTGGATGCTGCACACTGGTGGTGGAGGGCAGTCCCCATTATCTGTAAAGCGCTTTGAGTGGGGTGTCCAGAAAAAGTCCTATATTAGTGTAAGCAGTTATTATAATGATTAAGTATTATTATCTAGGTTCCTGAGTCAACATGGTCAGACGAATGTTGTTTCCCGTTTGCTTAG